CACACACACACACACACACACACTTCAGTTATGAGTATGAGCGAGTATGAAATGAATGTGGTTCAATACGAGAAGAACAAATGTGTGTTACAGTAAGATCACGTCTCAGCTGTTCATCACACACACCCGTTACCCACAATGCATCACTTTCCGTAGTTTACTGTCTCAGAATAACACTTTGCATGACATCGATGAGACAGAGAAACACGCATTTGTCTATTTGATCAGTGGGTTTTATTCTCTTCCATTTCATTTGAATTCTATTATTGTTTTATTAACATAACTGATCAGTTATTAGTAGTATAATGTAGTATAGTTAGCCACTTTGTGTTGCCTTGCTGTCTGTTTCCTGACCTTCTGCCTGTGTTTATTGGATTACCCCTCTTGTCAAGCCCTCTGGATTCTGTTCGCTGATCGAAAATCCACGTTAGCTCTAGGAATACTCTTGTGTCTTGCCCTCTACATATCTGTGTGCTGGTGTTCAACCCTGCCTGTTTCTGACCGTGTCTTTGAATAAAGCCTTGCATATGGATCCGCACGTCTCACGTCTCGTTCGCCCCGTAACAGCCACATTCTACATCTACAGACTTACAGAACTTTGACCTCTGATACATAAAGGCATTAACTGGTTCCCCTCCCTAACACTCAGTCTTTCTCTTTATTGACAAACTGCAAATGTTTATAAAAGCACTTGCACAGAATCATAGTCAATTAAAAAAAAATATGAATTTTTGGGAAGAAAACTGTATTTTGATGATCTGTTGGGAAATGTGGGGAATGCAACTGATACATGTGGTGTTTCTTCTCTTTATGGCAAATTCATTCTCCTAAACTTTTTGTGCAACCACGCAGTGTTGGATTCTGGACTCTCTCTGACTGCAACAGAACGTTAGTTGCTATGAAATGATACTGACATCAGAATCAGAAAGAGCTTTATTGCCAAGTGTGTTTACACACATAAGGAACACGTCTTGGTGTCAGAAGCTTCCACATCTTGACACATACCACGCACTTTGGTCTTATATGGATGATAGTATAACAATATAATATATTATAATATGGACTTATCCTGCACTACAGATTTTTGTCATTAGTTTAGAATGAGAATGTCCCACCCACTGATAATTTATGCAAATAAATTATCAAGGTGTTAGAATGGATGGAACGTTCTGATCTGTTTTTATTGTTATATTTATGGTTATGTTCTCACACAAATATGCTGGAAAACATTGATAAATAGCAGAGAAGAGTAGAGACAACAACATCTATGTAAAATCAATGCAAGTCAACAACAAACTCAATACAAGCATCTTGACTGACTACAAAAAACAGACTGGCTATTTCTGACAGTATACAATCTGATGTATGTATTTATTTTGAGCATTTAAAAAAACACTGTGTCAAACCTGGTGTTGTTCATCATCATCAGACGTTTCCATACATGTTGAGTTCATCCATGTTGGTGTATTCAGCATCAGAATCATAACCCTTAATAATTATTATAATGAATTCTTAATTCTGGCCAACAGTCATTTGAATAGTTTATATTGTTTTGTGAACTGTTATTGCCGTTCTTGCATTTGTTTTTGGAAATATTCAAAGTTTGTTCCACATTTATGCATGTAGCATTTATCATTCTAAAGTTATAATTTAATTGTATAAATAATTACTGTATGTAAATAATACAGTAGCTAAAATTTAAGGTTACACTTTATTTTAAGGCGTCCTTGTTACAGTGTAATTATACATTTAAGTACTGAGTAATATTAATTAACTGCATGTACTTACTATATGGTTAGGGTTAGCATTAGGGTTTGGGTTAGGGTTACTTGCATGTAATTATGCATAATTAATTATGCATAATTGTTATCATAATAGTAAGTACATGTAACATGTGTAATAAAGACACCTTAAAATAAAGTGTTACCAAATGTAAATGATAAAGAAAACAGACTGTACCTTGAAAAATTAAATAAAGTAACAAATGTCCTGTCAGTCTCCTGATTGCCGTCTT